ATCTATATAGTTAGAAGGATTTGGGGAACATATTCTTTGATTTTACACACAAAAATCAATTTTTCAAAACTATTCCCATCCCACACTCATTCAATACCTCTTTGGTTCCATTCCCAAACATAATTAATCAATCCATCCAACAGCAGAAATTGCTCCAAATTACACTTGTCAAGCGCAGTTCAAATAGCATTACAAGATCGGCTCAAAGTACCATAAATCGCCGACAAACCAGCTTCATTACAGGCATAATAATAAGCACTTAAACATTCAGAGAGTCCACATTCTGGGACAGAGAATTATAAAGTGGCCGTCACTACATTATCTACATTTTCACAAATTTGATCAAATGGGTCACCCAAAAAATGGTATAAACTAAAAATGAAATTTCTGCACACCTTTCAGTGGGATTGGGAGAATAAACGGCAGCCAATGATCTTATGAAAGAGGTGCCCAATTTCCTGTTCAAACGATTTGAAGATTTCAAGACTGGGTTTTTAGCTGGTGGGTGTAGGAAAGGTTTGATGGGATTTTGGGTGGAGGAATTTAGCGGGTGGAGGAATTTAGCAGCTGGAGAATCCAAATCTCCCTGTCATCCGGTGACTGTTTGTCGATTTGTCTGATCAAATTCAATTAATGTGTTCAAAATTAAGTGAGGGGACATGTCTACCTTATATTGTTCGTGTGCATCAATAATTTAATTCGCCAGTTCGAATATTGTGCTAGCTAGATTCATCATCCAGCATTATATTACTCGATCGAAACATATTTCCATAATGCATATAACATTTTCGTGGGTTTTTTCTCTAGTCGTGATCCGGTAAACAGCTAGCAAAAGAAGCAAATTCATATCAATTTTGCAATGTTAATAGTATCTGAATACAAGATCATTCGATTCACATCACCNAAGAGAAAAGGTAAAATAGAAGAAATCAGACAAGCTCGATGTAGGCCATAGGGGCATTGTCACCCCTTCTCGGCAGAGTTCTGATAATCCTCGTATATCCACCTTCCCTTTCCCCATACCTCTCTTGAACCTCAGCAAATAACGCGTGTACTATTTGTTTCTCATAAATAAAGCCGAGGGCTTGCCTTCTCTTGTGCAGAGTGCCATCCTTGGCCAGTGTGATCATTTTATCGACATATTTGCGCATGGCACTTGCTCGGGCTCTTGTGGTTTTGATGCGCCCGTACTTGAGAAGTTGAGTAGTCAAGCAACGTAAGAGGGCCCGCCTTTGGTCGGGGGGCCTGTTGAGTTTCGGCACCTTTCTGCCATGCCTCATGTTGAAAAACCGGCTGCCATTGCTGATTAACGGGAAGCTGTGCTCGTAAGTGGTCAGACCTGAATTGTTTTGGGGAACTAAATGTAATGAGAAACAAAATGTAAGCATAATCAATCATCTGTAGTACTCTCCTAGAGAAGAATATGTTATCTTCAAATCAAGAACAATTTTGAGTCAATATTTGGACTAAAAGTAGGTGAATTTGAATTTGAGCAATGTTTTAAACATGAACCTGCAGATATATAGTGCAATAGCATGAATGCACCTATAATAAATTTCTTGAAACCAAATAACCTAGCAAGCAGCAGTTGCAGAAAAAAA